ATGCGCCATGTAAGCGATCCGTGTCAGGGATCAAGAATCGCAGGTGGAGGGGGCGGTTTCTAGCCTGAAAAAAGCGAATCGTGGCTAGAGGAGGCGATTATTGTGTGTGCAAAATTACAAAACCTCCTCCCAGCAGGTAGGGGTGGGCATCGGTTGATTCGGTCCAAGACCGGACCAAACTATCCTCGGACTGGACCAAAATTTGTTCTAAATCAAGGACCAAAGTCGAATCGTTATTACTTCGATTCGGTCTGGATCAAACCATATATGGCTCGATTTGGTCTGGACCATCCCATTGGACCAACTAATCTTTCATTCGAAATAAATCACTCTTAAAGGACAACACAAGAATTTAAAAAATGTAACTACACAAAAAAAAAGTAATCAAATTCCCCAAATTTAAATACTCCACAATTCTTAAAAAACCACATGTTCCAAAATATTATGCAAAAAGCTAAATGTGAAATATTGTTTAAACTACAAGACAAAAGTCTTTTTATTCAATCTCAAATGTAGTCTTACTAATTGCCTCTCTAATCTTTCATTTTCAGTGCACGTTGGACCCCCCAATCTCCAGAATTTCCACTTGTCTGTTAGAAAGCATTTCTTATGCAATATAAGCACATGATACAAGGCATTAGAAATGAGTTTAACAAAGTGACACTTACTCCAAGAACTAGTGCAAGTAAGCAACTCTCTTGATCGAAGCAATGCCGAGGAGAACCCTGATTTGAGGGTAAGACTATAGGAGCGGGAGCGGCGAGTCTAAGTCAGGAAAAGTCAATCATAGTCGTGTAGGGTACTAGGGTTTTCATTTTTCAACTCCAAGTCGACTTGCCTTCTCGGAGCATAATATAATAGGCAATTCATTTCATTACGATTCGGTCCGATCCTTAGCTTGATTTTACGATTTTGGTCTGGACCGAACCAAAACCGAAAATTAACCAAATTCAGGAACCAAAGTCGAATCGAAAGATAAACAGTTCGATCCGATTCGGTACGAGAGTCGATTAGGTCCGATGTGAACCGAATCGTTGCCCACCCCTACCAGCAGGAGGTCCAAATCCTATATAAACCCCCTCCCCCTCCTTCATTCTTCACACCAAAACCCATTCTTCCTCTCTAAGATTATCTCCCTATCATTCCCCCTCTCCACCCATAAACCTAGGAAATAGTGGTATGTTGGTTGCGGCTAAGTCTGAACTGCAATCAGAAAACATTTCTTTGGTTTTTCCTTCAAAACCCGTCGAATCTATGTTCGGCTTCGTGCAAAAATGGTTGATATTTTTGAAGAGGAGGATATTTATTATGATGACTATCAACTATCAAGCGGTACATACTTGTTTTACCATATTTTTGTTGTTGTTATAATTATTTTATTGTATTTATATACTAATTAATTTATGTTGTTGTTATGCTATCGTAGATTGGGGAGGACGTGGATATGTACAATCAAAGATATTATGTTGATCAAGTACCGATTGATCCATCTGTGCTGTATGATCAAGATAACCATCGTTCAATGGATGTTTGGAACTATCACAAGGTACATATAATTTATCATCATTTGTCATTTTTTATTATGTTAATGTAAATTAGTGGTTTTCAAAATAAATTTGTTAATTTTATTGATTATTTTCAATTATTTAGGATAATACAAGGTGTCACTTATTTAGACTCTTTATAAAGAGATGCATGCCTAAGGAAATGGGGTCTTAAGCGATCATCATGATCCTCCCATTTCATAGGAAAATCGGGTTTTAAGCGGTACTCGGATCCCCCATTTTTCTGTCAGAAAAGTTGTGTTTCTAAGGAGATTTATGCCGCTACTAATAGTCTAACGAGCATACTTGTATTGTTTTAAATTATTGAAACACAGCCAATACGAATTACAAAATAATATAATGGATTTATGTGTATGTGTACAAACTTAATTTTATTTAATTTTTGAAAATGCTATTCATTTTAGTTAATGAATTTATCTGTTTGGATATCGATACACCATACGATCAACTCTTCTCGTGCCATCCATGCAACTAACCTCGGTACACATTTGACGGAGCTCTTCAAGGTTCGGTCTCGTAGCGACCTTCACTTGTGAAAATTACCAATGACGTAACGTAACCTCTTTTTGGTCTCTTTCGTATAACCATTCCACCGTAACCCACGTGAACTTTTGAAATGCCATCTTTAATAAAACGGTAGCTAAATTAATAACATAAAATTTGTCAGCGCTAATCGCAAAACAAACTTACAATAAAAAGTAATACAAAACAAACTTACAAAGTAACGTTAATTGCTAAAACTCAAAACACAAATCGCAAAACAGAAACTTAAAGAAGAATAGGAAGAGTGGTGAATTGCTGAGGTTTCCGGGGCTGGCTTTTATAGGCAAAATGTCAAGTACAAACTGCCCCGTCCCCCAGCGGTTTTCACCAGACATGCAACCACACGTCTACAACCCCTGCATGCCGACATGTCAGTTGTCCGGGGAATGAGGACTACACACAAACCGCTAGGGGGGAGAGGGCGGTTTGTATGTCGACAACATAAACCGCCTGTTGAAGAAGCGGTTTCTATTGTCGACGTAGAACCGCTTCTTCAACAAGCGGTCTGTTCTAGGTCAGCTACTAAACCACTTTCAGGAGGGGTGGTTTGTACAAATAATTTAAATCGCCACCTCACGATGCGGTTCTCCCACAAACCGCCTCCCCGTGTGGTGGTTTTTAATCAATGATAGTATTTTTGTAGTTTTTCCGGATTGGATTGTATTGTTGTACTTTTTGTTTTTTACAGTGGTATTTCTGAAAAATTGCATAAACAACATCCTCCACAAATAATACTGCGAAACCCGTTTATCTTTTATACCATAAATCGATCTCCATATTCTCAACATACCCAATCTAACCTTGCTCATTCATGTACATAAATAATGAGTATTTTTTAGGTAATCCGTTCTTGTCTAAATCGGTCAATTTTTTGTTTTGTTTTTTGTTTTATCAGGTTGACATTCAATTAATTAACAAGACTGAAAATGAATGAGTACAGAAAGGAAAATGCAAAAGGAAAGATAAAGAAACTGAAATTCTGCAGAGGAGCTGCAGAAAAGGGACAACCGAGGAAGCTATTCAATCCAAAACACTCAATCTATCTGCTCAAGCCCAAAAGAGCAAAGGGCCACTCCATTTCCTTTTCAAGTACCAACAAGACAACTCAGTTTAGCAACCAGCAACACCAACCCGGCCTTCAAAGCTTTCTCGGTCAATTTAGATAGTAAAAATTACCCGATCCAAACGATGATCACCCAAGAGCTGAGCTTACTTCAAAAACAAGTTTTTAGTTTAAAACAAAAATAATAATAATAACATCATGCTTTGGATTTTCATTTTTTAATAATTTTGAAAAGACTTTGGTTTGTTTATAGCCTTACAGGAAGACTTTGTTGAGTGAGATACAATAGCCATGAGAAACTTCTATAGCAGTGAACTTTGCCACCTCAGCTTGCTCTAATGGCTTGCCATGGGCATAACACGTTTTTACATATTATTAGCTCCAAAATAGGGGCAAAGCAAAGGCAACTGCTTCTGAAACTTTCACCACTTAACCTCACAATGCTTGGAAGCCTACATTACTTGTCTCACTCAACTTCATTTTCGTGCCGCGCATATTCATACACCTTATATAGTTTCATCCACACTTTCTCTGAATGTATGCTTTACACTTCAGTTAAACTAAATTGATCATCCAGTTATATATATATATAAGTCGACCCTTCAAAGGACCCAGCAGCATCATAATCATATCATTTTATCTGTTTTGCCATATTGGTGATAAAACAGATTGCACATGAAGCTTCTTCTTTTGAAGCCCATCTCAGTGATCTTGATCTTGTGTTTGTTGGCAGCTGTTCTGCTTTCAACCTTGTCGTCGCCTGTCTTCCTGCTTTCCTTGTTCAATAGCATGGTTCTGGCCATTGCAGTTGGTAGCCGCAGCAGCAGCAGCAGCAGCAGGGACTCGTATGACGACCAAGTCGATGGTGGTGGTGGTGTATGGAGCTCGTTTCAGTTGTCGTCGAATGGAGGAGCTGGGGATGATTATTCGAGTTATGCTGATGTTAGGAATGATCATGATGATGATGACAACAATAATGAGGATGGTCTGTATTGTGAAGCACAGGACGATGATGATCTTGATAGTGAAAGCAAAGATGGTAGCGAGGAGGAAGACGAGGAGTTGGAACATGGTTATGACGAAGATGACGATGATGATGGCAGCGAGAGCAAGGTTGGGTGGCAAGATGAAGGAGATTGCGAGGAAGAGGAGAGAAAGGAGGAAGAAGAGGGAGTGGCAGTAGATGATGATGATGATGAAGGGATGTACGAGGTTGATGGCGGAGAAGTGGTGGATGGTAATTTGGAAAAAAGAGCTGAAGAGTTCATTACAAAGGTTACTAAAGGATGGAGGGATGAATTGTTAAGGGATCACCAGACAGAGTAGAAGGAAATGGTTTGATTGAATGGGACAAGGCTGGTTTCCCTTTTGGTGTCTGGTTCTGCTATCAATCCTCAAAAGTTTTGTATGCGATTCTGTTCATTTGCTTCAGTTTTTGCTTTGTGCCTTTAGATGTTATCATGAGCTGAATGGCGTAGTAAGCGCATCCAGAGGGAGTGGGCAATTTGGTTTATATGAATCAATTTCTCGGACCAAGTTGGATCGTAGTGATTCTAAACTTCACAATATTTTTCCAGTTTCACTTTGGTAGATCCTCTTGAGAATGAAGGAAAAAGAGAACGGAATCAAATCGAATGCATGTTTTATCATCCAAATTTGGACCTCATTTTTTATTTTCCCATTGTTTTATATTAGAGTCTGATTCTTGATCAGGCAATATCATGAGGCAGAACAGTTTTCATTTGCATTTTAGGTTACAAGGAAAGAAATGTCTCCCAAATTTGAATGCAGCTTTTGGTTGGTGTAAGGTATGCTAAAAGAGGCAAAGGAACCAAATGCAAATGATTGAATATGACAATAAGTTCGACAGCCATGCAATTAATTGCTGTCTCAGCCCAAAAATTGTTCAATAAACTAAAATCAAACTTATAACGCTTGCTTCGGGAACAGGATAACTTATTGTACAAGTAAACTGCATCTGATTTTCCCAATGGTACAACTATGGTGCAAGGGAGCTGGTTAACATACGGTAGTCATGACAAGAGCTATAGCCAAACATGAATCATAAATATTCTACACTAACCGAGACCGGCTGTTGCATCTTTGGGACGTGTGTCCTCGTCAACTCGTGGTGGCCGAATTATCTTGTCGATGAGACCATAGTCGAGGGCCTCCTGAGAATCAAAGCGTTTCATTCTGCTCAAGTCCTTGTCAATCTGCACAAACACTTATGTTAAGAGCGGTGATAATGAACCGAAAAACACGAGGCAAAACCATTCATATATAGTAGTGAAAAACCAACCTTCTCGAAAGGTTGTCCGGTTTTCTTTGCCAATTCCTTGTAAAGATAGTCTTTGACTCTAAGAAGCTCATCAGCCTCATTTCGAATGTCATCAGCCTGTGAGAAAAATGTCAATTGAATCCATAATTTGTTAAAGGGCTAATACCAATAGGAAACCCGAACTATTAACTTTGTGACATTTGTGTCCTAAAGTATTCGATACGACATTTGTGTCCCAAACTATTTTTCCGTTATGGTTGACTGGCGTTGACCGTTAGTTTTAAACAGAAAATCTAATCAGCGCTGATGTGGCATCTAAAATGAAAATTAAAAGGAAAAAATAACAAAAAATGGAAATTAAAAGAAAAAAATAAACAAAAAGTGGAAAATTCGTTCACTTTCCAAATTGGCTTTTCCGCTCCCTGTACTCCTCTCCCCGATTCGTCTCCAAGCTCCACTTCCATGGCGGATCTAACGAAGCTAAGGGGTGCAATGATTCTGCCACTTCTCGTTCACTTTCCTCTTCCGCCTCTACATCATCCTCCGCTATTAACGCTTCCTCCTCTCCACTTTACCTTTACTTTTCACCTTTCCTCTCCTCTGCTCCGGCCACCAACACAAAATGATGAAACCATGACCACGCAGCTCCAGCCCTTACGTCATCGCCGACTTCGACGGCTAGCGGAAGCGCCTCAACCCGGTATGGAACGAGCCGCTCGAGTTCCTCGTCTCCGATCCGAACAACATGGACCACGAGGAGCTCGACATCGAGGTCTTCAACGACAAGCGCTTCGGCAACGGCGGCGGCCGCAAGAACCACTTCCTCGGCCGGGTGAAGCTCTACGGCTCTCAGTTCACCAGGCGCGGCGACGAGGGGCTCGTCTACTTCGCGCTCGAGAAGAAGAGCGTCTTCAGCTGGATCCGCGGCGAGATCGGGTTGCGGATCTGTTACTACGACGAGATCCGAATCAAAGGCCAATTAGGTTTCCAATCGGTCAGATCCCGGCGCGACTCGATGAACAACCACAACGCGTCGTTTCACTGGAACGAGGACATCATTTTCGTCGCCGGCGAGCTGCTGGAGGACTCGCTCGTCTTGCTGGTGGAGGACCGTACGAAGAAGATGAAGAAGAAGGGATTATTTTTCATTTTAATTATTAATTATTAATTTTAATTTAAAAATAACAATCTGATGTGGCAGCTGACGTGGCGCATATGTGGCTGCCACATATGTGCCATGTAACCAAAAGTCAACATTTTATGGTTGACTGTTTGGTCAACCGTTATCTATAACGGTCAACAAAATTGTCATGACGTAAATGACACACAACTATCATACGTCAGGACACAAATGTCGTATCGAATACTTTAGGACACAAATGACACAAAGTTAATAGTTCGGGTTTCCCAGTGGTATTAGCCCTTTGTTAAAAATATCCACAATGCGTTTATACAATGAAAGAACATATGGCAGCCTTCTGTACCTGACCACGAGCTGCCCCAGCTGGAGACTGCAGAGCAATCCTGGAAAGAGGCATTGCAGACCGTTGTCCCTATGTAACATAGGAGAAAATGAAATTCAGGATGAAAATTTCAAAAGGTTTGTCAAACACTTATGCACACAGAAACCGAAGGTTAATGGGTGGTTAAACATTTTAGCAGGTTAAGGGACTGAAGGGCACTTAAATCTAACCTTTTCACCAGCTGCAAGAAGAAAACCTGCCAGATTATAGGCAAACCCCACACAGTGGGTACCAACAGGACTCTTCAAGCTCTGCATAGTGTCATAGATAGCTAAACTGGGAGTAAGCTGCAAACAGAAGAATGCACTCTTAGCTCAAGTATATACAAAAGAAGTAGTTTGAGCACAAAAAGCACCAAATAGAAGCATTCAAGTTGAGACGCGTACATCTCCGCCGGGTCCATTAATGTAAAAATACATCCTTCTGGACTCATCAACGCTATCAAGGTACAACATTGTTCCCAATATTTGGTTGCTGAATTCTTCATCAATTTCCTGCCCGATGAAGATTACTCGTTCTCTATACTGCAGCAAAATGATTCAGCAAGGTTTCAAGCCATCTGAGGGAATGGGGAAAGGCTGGAGAAAAGGCTAACACATGCATTCTTTGATCAACCATGCTAAAATGTCATTAAGATAAAAGTTTTGTTTACAAGGTACTGTCCGCATTAAAAAAACAAACTTACAAGGGCGTTCCACAAATCGACCCATTGCCAAGTCCCCTCCCCTGGTGTCCTATAGGGTACTCTTGGTTCGCCTATAGGCATCATTTTAACAGCTCGAATCGGTTTAGAATTATGAATCCTGAAGGCAAAGGATAGCACCAGCATTCATCATAAAGTATATAGAGTTATAGACAATAGTGCCCAAAATGGTTAAGTTCAATATATCATTCTTTAAACGAGACGCCACTGATTCAAAACTCACAATTAAGCAAAAACCTAAATGTTCGAGCTGCAAACTTCTACGAATCATGCATATAGTCTCAGCTCTAATCAAGCCCCAAAAACGGAGATATTAGTTCAAAGTTCCAAACTTTACCCGGAATGGATGCTCTTATGGACTCGGCCGAAGAACTCTGCAGAGACATTGGGTCGCCCAATTCCATGAACACCTGCAAATTCGCAAAGAACAACAACACACAATCACGATAATGGAAAATTTGTAAAGCACAATTCCAAGAAAGGAGAAGGGATTTTTCTAAAGGGCAGAACTTGGAGATTGAAGCTTCAATCCGGAATAAAGGTTCGTCCCGAAGCTGCACAACAGAAACCATACAAATCAAAATCCAAAGACGGACAGAAAATTCTATTGCGCTTTAGTTTAATTAGAGCAGAGGGAGGAATATGGCTGGAGGATTGAACCTGAGAGAAGGTTGATGTAAGTTGGTACTGAGCGAGGACACCATTATTACTGTTATGCGGAGTTTGTTGAGTTCTTACGAGTTTAACAGTGAAGGTCTTCTGGGTTCCGAGAGTGGTTTTGAGGATTGGAGTTGGAGTAAGACTGTTAAGAGAGAAGGGAGGGTACATTACGGTGGTCTCGTTAGCACAGTAAGTTCGGAATTCGATTGGGCTCTCAGCCCACCAATGAACTTTTCTCTTTTCCGAGAGGGATAAATAACGTATTTTCGCATAACAGATCATTTTGGTTCAAGGTTCTCAACCCGCGAGTTGACCCGGACCTGGTCGAGCTAGTGGGTCAAGGGTTAATGGGTCAACCGTTTTAGCCTGGTTTGGCCCGGAAATATGGAAAAAGTCATTATATTATACTTATCCTCATAAATTATATCAAATCTTATCTAACATATGAGTTATAACATATAATATTACACCAAAATAACATATCGTATATAGATCCAACATATATAGTGAAAATTCACACACACTTATATAACATAAATATTCAAATGTTCAACTTAGCATTCCAAAAATTGAGCTAGGCGAAAAGAAATATCGGAAAATAGGCGCATTTCGCAAACCGATGAAAAAATGACACAATTTGACCTCCAACCCGGTACCTTGTAGCGGTCGGCCCGGCGAGTGCGTGCGGCCCATTTTTCTCACCGGGTCAGGGTTAAAGTGGGTCGACCCGCGGGTTGACAACCTTGTTTTGGTCCGAATTTCAAATAAAATAGTTTTATCCGAATTTTAAAATAAATTTAAACATGAACCCATAATTTAGTTTGACGGTCAATGTTTAATGGTCAAGCATTTATTATGTCTCAACATTCAATGTTGATAGTTGTGATGTAGATTACATCATTTATTTATGTTATAAAAAATAATTGGCAAAAGTTAAAAAAATAAGTACGATAAATGGAACATTAGTATGAGTACTAATCATCGGTGGATTTAACATTCGATGTTGATGATTGTGATCTAAATTACATCATTCATTTATGCACATAATTCTCTCTCTGCATATCCATCCCCTTTCCCGAATGATCTTTCACCTTCACATCAATACCGGAGCCAACTTACAAGAGAATAGATCACGGGACGCACTTTGAGTTAGGATTAGAACACAAAAACAAATAATATTTGTACATAATCCATATTGATCAAAACCAACACCTTATGATCACTAGTTTACTTGTCTTTGTCTACCAACAGGTTATAAAGAACTTTGTAGCACACATTAATCTTTCATATTGTGTAAATAACTCTATAGTTTACATAATTGTTTATTTTGAGTACTAATTCCTAATTTAGTGTCGAAGTCTTCACTTTCAAACAAAAATCAGTAGACAAACTATAAAAATGCGTTGTAGGTCATTTAAATATTAATAAAATTAGTTTCATATATTTTTCTTTTTATCTCATACTCACTTTGAATAAAATACTGACTACGATACTACCTCTGCCTCCGACCTTCCTTAGCCTCGACAACGATTCCAAAGTCTAATTCGTTGTCGTCTCTCCCTATCTAGATTTATCACTCTCCCAACTACTCTCTCTTCCACCCAACCCACGCTCTATTTTTTTTTTTTTTTTTTGTCATTTTGGATCTAAACATAACAATATGAGAATTCACCGTTTTAATAAAATGCGGGGAAGAATTCACCGCGTTCGTTTACAACAGGGAATATTTCACTGCATCGGACGACTGCAGTGAAGGATTGGGGAACGCTGACCGCTGACATGGACGAACGTGGGGCATACACTGCCGAGGAAAAACGCGAGGAATGCCCTGTTGTCCATGTCACCGATCTGCGTCGCCTCGCCCCTTCACCACTGTCGTTGGATGCAGTGTGGTGTGGATTCTGGTTTTCCTTCCAGATCCGACGCCTCACAGCCTCTCACGTCAACGCTCCACGTCGTTCACTGCATTCGAGAAACGCGGGGTCTTCCCTGCATTAGACGAAGGCGGGTGATTGCACTGTGTTTGTTTCTAGCAGTCCCCTTCCCCTATAAATACCACCCTTCTCCCTTATTCCAAATCACACCACCACACTACTCTTCTTTCTCTCTCCATTCCTCCACTCTATTTTCGTTCTAAGTATGCTTTGTGGTTGCGGCTAAGTCTGATCTTCCATATCAGAAAGAATTCTTAGAGTTATATCCTAAAGCCTCTCCTCTAAAAACCCGTCGAACCTCTGTCTGGCTTTCGCCAAAAAATGGACCATGAGGCTCTTCGGGTACGTTATTGGTAATCCTTTTTTTGTTGTTGTTGTAATCGAAACAATAAGATTTCATTCAAAAAAAATTATAGATAGGTGTCGAGATATACGATCCTCGATTGTATATTCATTATGGGCCAAGAGATACGAACTATTTATTAGAGCAAGAAACACATCATTCGCGTGCAATTTGGCACAACAATCTGATACATACTACATACCTTATAATTTTTTAAATTATTTCATTATTTTAAAAGTTTTTATTTTGCTTTTCTTTGACTAACAACTTGGTGTTTTTTGTATTTTTTTTGTAGGAATCACTTCTTCCCGTCATTAATAGAGAGACCACAAACTTGCCCGCTTGACATGATCGACTCTCGTCGTATCTAGAGAGCATGAGGTTGGGTATGGTGAGGCATTTCATGTGGATGGAGATCGACAACAATCTGTTGACGGCAATGGCGCCCCGAAACCCATACGTTCCACTTTCTGGAGGGGGAAATGACGATCACCCTGAAAGACGTTGCCATCCTCATCGGGCTGTCGATCACTGGAGAGGCCATCATCGGTCACTCGACCAAACCTGAAGCAGGCTGGGGCCGCTGATTCTTGATAGTTTGGGCTTCGACATGCCGACCACTGCTCCAGTCCATTGACGGGGGCATCCACCGTTGAATGCGGGACAAGTATCGAAAATGTGGCTCGTTACTCACATCCAAGATGAGGTTGAAATCGGCCCAAACACTCCAAAATATCAAATGGAGCGGTATGCACATGTCTACCTCATTGGCTTGGTTGGTGGATTTATGTTCATCGACAAGGCAAACAGGTGGATTCAAGGCATGTGGTTGCTATTTCTACTCAGTGACTGGGATGCGATCGGGACAAAGAGTTGGGGTCGGGCGTGTTAGTTGGGGTATATAGGGAGATGTGTACTTGCTCGAAGGTGGGAGCGAAACAAGCTGGTGGTGCGATGTTCATCCTCCAGATCTGGGCATGGGAGCATCTTTCAATGTTCGCACCTCAAGACCCGCATCAATTCTGGAGACAAAATAAGGAGCTACGAGATGTGCCAAATGCCCCTTATGATGTCAAGTAAGTTTGATTTAGATTTATTTCTTGATTTGATTTACTTAATTTTGCTTTGTTTAATTTAGATTTCTTCCATGCTTAATTTTATCACATGCTTAGCTTGATTTAATTTAGCTTTATATAAAATTTATTTCATGCATAGTTTGATTTAATTTAGATTTATTTCATGCTTAGGTTTATTTAATTTAGCTTTATATAAAATTTATCTCATACTTAGTTTGATTTTTAGATTTATTCCATGCCTAAATTAAATTTATTAAGTAAATTGATCAATTGCTTAAGAAATTCATACATGCTTAGCCTTTATGCTTACAAACCACCAAACCGAGCACTCTTACAAGGTGGATCGGAGCAAATACAAACGACCACCAACCCAAGCTCTCTTTACTGTTTTGTCGTGCTGAGTTTGATAAACCTTGGTGGAACCATGTAATAATGACAATTCAATATTTTAACGAATTACAATTTTGTGGATGTAATTGGTTGCTAATTGCAAATTATGAATGAGTGTAGGTTACATGAGACCCATATCCACGTGAAGTGGTCGAGCTGCATCATCTTAGACACCCTAAGAATCACGAGACATGGTTGTGCAAGGTGCCCTTGATCTGCTGGCACATCGTGGAGTGGCACCTGCCCGATCGATACTTGAGGCAATATTGATTGGAGTAACCAATTCCAGCAACCCCGCCTCAAGGTTTCTTGAAGTCTCTTAACAAGACACTCGTTGACCTTCCAGTATGACATCTCCACTATGACAGAAACAGACATCGCTCTAAGGTCCTTGTACACTCCATTTATACTTTCACCATGGTTGGTAGTTGAAATGCAGAATTGGCCCCGTTGTCTATATGAAACGTCCACATGTGCAAATCATGACCTTCAACCCATACTGCCCCCGCCCGGTGTATCAGACGGATTGTCTTCATTTTCTGCTCTTATTTTTTTGGTTGATGTGCAACCTCTTCAAGGAGAAAAAAATTATTGGTTAATACATGAGAAATTGCATCTGAACAATGAGTAATTAACTCGCACAAAAAGACATTAGTACTTGCATCTTACAATTGATCTTTATGTCTTTCTTCTTCCCAAATTTGTGCTGGAAATTGGTAAGAAAGTGTCGAATACACGAGCGCCATGTTCATCCACATTCGTCGAGAAAACCACCAACGGCGTTCCTAATCCCAACATGTCGATCGGATATAATCGTAATACCCTGTTGCTGTGTGACGTGGTCGTGTAGCTGGTCAAAGAATCATGTCCAACTTAAGTTGTTCTCCCCTTTCACTAATGCAAATGCCAGCGAGAAAATCCGCATAGTTCCATCAACACCAGTGGCAATGAGAAGAGTTCATCTGTACTTCCCAGTAAAGAAAATTCCATCAACTTGTTTAAAATTAAATTAAATTAGGATAAATATTACTTAGTTACAAAATGAACTTTTAGAACATTAGTCAGTAATATACCTGGATTACTGGAATGCAGAAGGAAAACCCGTCAATGCATGGCTTGAATGCCCAAAATAGACGGTGAAACATCAACTCATTCTGTACTCAAACTTGATCTTCACTTTTTACATTGTTGTAACATGACACGAAAATAGTCCCAGGGTTGGACTCCTCCATTGCGGCCATTAGTCTAGGGAGTAAAGCATACAAGTCATCTCAATTACCATACACCTCAGTCATGGCCTTCTGCTTTCCATGCCATGCCTTCTTGTACCTGATCATGTAGGAATGTCGATCCTTCACCTCGACCATGATAGTTTTGATCTTGATACCTGGTTGTGCCTCGATCAACTG